CAAGGCTGACCTGAAAGAGTTTAGGATAGACGAACATTATGCCTTAATCGAGAATACTGGAGACGGTTGACTCGTACAGCAGACCCAGCGTAAGTGGGAAAATGCGAAGATTAAAAAAAAATCTCGCTCGCATATCAAGGACACTGGATAAAGCCCAACCTGTAGTACAGGCAAGATTTCACCAGGGATTCAGCTGCGTGCATCACATCACGACAGTTTCGAAGATTATCGAGGTTTGCCGTGAGTACCCCTCTCGTCCTAACCTTCGTTGACTTTGAGAAAGCGTTTGACAGCGTCGAGACTAATGCCATACTTCACCGCTCGTCGACCCAGGGGTGGACCCAACTTACGTGAGGACATTGACCGACTGCTACAAGATCTGCTGTACAACGGTACAGCTCTTCCATCGCCTTCTAACATAACAATTTTGAAGGGGGTTCGTCAAGGCAAAATCGTGATGTCAAAGCTGTTTACCGCCGCGTTGCAGTGGGTGATGAAATCAATGGATTGGAACGAGAGAGGTTACAAGTTGATGGGAGATTCCTCTCGAACCTTCGTTTTGCGGACGACATTGTTCTCTTCTCGAAAAGTAGCGGAAACGATGTTGAAGGAACTAAACAAGTAGGGAAGCAGATAGACTGCGAATCAACTGGAAGAAGACTCAGTTCATGACGAACGCTTTTTGCGAGGATCAGAAAATGGAATTAGAAGGCTCTCCAATCGCGGAGACATCTTCTTACGTATATCTCGGGCCAATGGACATGGAGAACGATCTGAAAGAAGAACTAAACAAGAGGCAAAGAGCAGCTTGAGCCGCTTTCGGATCCCTAATGGAAGACACGACAAGCTGGCAGACTCAGAGCTCCGAGCTCATCTGTTCGATTCAACTGTTCTCCCTGCGCTCTGCTACGCAGCAGAGACGTGGCCTAACACTATGGCTACGTCAAAAGCTTTTCGAACAACCCACAGAGCGCTGGAACGACGTCTTCTGAAGTACAACCGACGCCTCAAGATTCTTCGTTGGACTTCGCAGCTCAGATAAAAGAGCAATGTCTCATCTTCGCGATCCAGCGGAATACGTCTCTAAGGCAAAGCATCGATGGGCTGGTCATATCATAAAAAGGGCAGACGACCCTAAGAACTTTAGAATGGATTCCTCGCGAAGCATAACGTCCTCGAGAGAGGCCACCGACCAGATGGTCTGACGTGTTCGTAACACGGATGGACGGTGAATTCTGACGGTGAATTCTGAGCGAGTAATGGATCTGGAGCCTGCGAGCGTCGCCGTAGTTCGATACCAACATCGTGGATGACGCTGGCGAGAGACAGCAATGAAAATTGCTGGAGCCTGCACGACGAGTGAAAACAGCCATCAAAAGTATCTAAAAGTAAGAACCAGCAGCTCAACCCGTTTAGGGTAATTTACGGTATCCTAGATTAAGGGCAGAAATCAAAAGTTGGAGTACTTCTATGCTCTGACATTTCAATGATTAAACCAAATGAAATTGATTAGTCGGGGAAAAAGCCATCATGTTGAAGATGAAAACCTTTTTTATATCTTGCAATAAACAGTGATGTGGCCTGCACGACAAGTGAAGACAGGCCATCTAAGTATCTAAAAAAGTAAGTTGGGGATCTGGCGCCTCATAAACGCTAAACTCTGACTTCGCCCAATGCTGCGCCTACTGCCTGTCATCAGACTGGGCTATACAAACCCGATAATGGATATATCTAAGATCAACAAAGAGGAAGAGGAAGTTGACGTAATGTATTCTTTTTTTGATATCGTCTTCGATTTAGAATGAAGAGTGATGAAAGGAAGGATAGCCTTATGCATTTGCATTC